GGACACACTGACAGTGGTGAGGACGCACATCATCACAGTGCACAGGCTGACTGGAGAAGGTCGCAGGCCTGTGGGGGTTCGGTACCATGCCAGGGACAGCGGGGGGTGGTGGGGTCTCCACGCTCCGGAAGCATATGACTTAGTCTGACAAACAAAATCTATGTCAGGTGAAAAACTGTGTACGGATGATTAAATGCTACCCACTGTGGCAGGATCGAAAAGGCGAGTGAATCTCAGAGCCAAGGGCAGACGCGGAAGGTGGCCTTGGAAAGGCAAGAAGCATTCATTCGGCACAAGGAAATGCATTGTAGGTCAGGGAAGAAGATGATCAAGGCCAAGGGCGGGGGGCCTCCGTGTTTGGTGTCTGGAGGCCTTCCAACCTGCTCGCCTAAAGAGATTTTCTTGGGGGGTGCCTGGGGGGCTCAGTCGGTTAAGCATCCGACTTCAGCTCAGGTCATGATCTCATGGTTCGTGGGTTCGAGCCCCGCGTCGGTCTCTGTGCTGACAGCTGGCTCAGAGCCTGGAGCCTGCTTCTGATTCCGGGTCTCCCCCTCTCTGACCCTCCCCTGCTCACGCTGTCTTTCTCTTTCTCTCTCAGAAATAAATATAAACATTAAAAAAAAAAGATTTTCTTGGGTGGGGTGTCAGAGGAAAAAGGTGACCTTCAAAGCTACTCTCTTCATCTTTCTGACTCCCGGCAGGAAGCACCTGTCCAGTATCCAGGTCCCCCAGGAGCCTCTAAGTGCTTGTCTACGATTCAGTCCCCCTGGGAAGCACATCACCTGAGGCCCTGGGCAGGGGAATTCTTTTCTTTTCTTCTTCTTTTTTTTTTTTTTTTGCATTAGCTGCTATGCCTCATTCTCCCAGGTATAGAGTGAAGCCAGCCTTGCCACGCTGGCCACAGCGGACTGAATCGAGCGTGCATGGCCAAGCCACACCACTGGCTGGACAGGCTAACCCTGGAACAGCTCTGTCCGGTACGGCCGCGTCATTTTGACTGGCAATAAACTGACTCAATCAGACCCTCTTTATGAGAGGGCGGGGAGGCTGGTGAATGTGAGGAGGGGGCCATTGCAGCTCGGCATCTCCTGGGGATACTGACCCCTCATTCTAGTGCTCCCTGACGCTGGCCAATGGCCCCGTCTGCATCTGCGGGACTCAGAGAGGCTGCTGGGCTGAAGAGCAGACAGCCCACCTCCCACCCAGCCTGCCATTTGCCCTGTCTCCATGCCTTCAGGTACTTCTTCCGCAGGGCTCCTTATGAGCCCAAGACTTGAGGAGAGACCCTGGGGAAAGAACGGAGCCATCCTGCAGGAATGGAGTCCAGGGATGGGGCGAGGAATGGCCTCCTCTTTGCATAGCTGGCTTCTTCTTTTGTCCCCACGAGCTCCCCATCCCCCACTGCTTCTGAACTTGCGCTGAGCTTTTTAAAAAAAAAAATTTTTTTTTTAATGTTTATTTATTTTTGAGAGCCAGAGAGAGACAGAGCATGAGTTGGGGAGGGGCAGAGAGAGAGGGAGACACAGAATCCAAAGCAGGCTCCAGGCTCCGAGCTGTCAGCACAGAGCCTGATGTGAGGCTCAAACCCACAAACCGTGAGATCGTGACCTGAGCCGAAGTTGGATGCTTAACCGACTGAGCCACCCAGGCGCCCCTGCATTGGGCTTTTTTGATCCAGGCTGAGCCATGGGCAGGTAGGCCAGATCCAGAAGCTCTTTGGGCCTGGCCTGAGAAAGGATACCAAGACCCTGCCTGTAGCCTGGCCAGACCCGAAGTTGGGCAGATTCTCTTGTGTCTTATCACTGCTCGTGAGAACGTGTCTTGATGTGCAGAAGCAACTCGATTTCACGTACTTTGTAGCATTTGTTCTGCTCAGTCTCCCAGATACTCTTTGGGAAATGAGGAAATACAGCTCAGAGAGGTTATCTGCTGGGTCCAAGGTCAAAGCAGATTAAGGACTGGAAGGCAAGCTGCCTGAGCTGACCCTTGGTCCCTGGCTCTCCTCACGATTACACTGCTCCTCGAGAAGCAGGCTCACTCTGCTCCTTCAGGACAGATTGCTGGCATCCTGCCTGAACCCCGTGGCCACGGCTCACGATCATTAACATTAAGCAAAGCCTCCTGACGCCTCTCCTGCAAGTGCTAAGCACAGACTGGCCGGAGAGTCTCCAAGCAGGGAAACTACCCTGCAAGTCTTAGAGGCGGAAGAGGGCCATTCAGAAGAAATGACATCAGCGGCCACCATAAACTGCCCTACGAGGTCCTGAGATCCCTGTTTCCATTCCCAAGCCTGTAGCAAATCACATAGCAGGGGAGGCGTGGTACCAGACTGGAGCAAATCTTGAACTTGGGGTCTGTGAACCCTCAGAAATTCTCACAAGATTGTTTATGTCGGTGCATTTGCTTGGAAGGGTGTTCATGGCTCTTTCAGGGCTCAAGAGGCTCAAGGACTTGAGGTTACGGACCACAGGGCTTGAAGAGTCGCCCCTCCAACCCTAGAGCTCAGGGCATATCCAAACCCGGGGGCCAAACACACATTTTCAAACACAGGAAAAAGCACCACGCGATAAAAGTAACCCAGCGCTGTTACCGTCCTGACTGCTGGTGTTTCTTACCTTTCCTGTTCATCTGCCCATGCCCTGAGGATCTGGGTCCACATCCCTGCAAAACCCAGCACCCCGAGCTCTGCATCTACCCGTCTTTGGCTCCTGTGTGCCCAATGAGGCTCTACCTGGTCTGACCCCTGGTGAGGCCCTGGGTGTTTTCCTATCTCTCAGTGACTGCTCGTTCCCTTTCTGCACATCACCACCTCCAGACGAGAGGAGCAAACTGGAAAGGAAAACACAATTTGGGAGAAAGAGCCACGTAGGTGCCCAGCACAGAGCCAGCCACAGGGTCCTAGAACACCACCTCTCTGTTTCCCGCGGATATTTGGACACCTGGCGCTCCCCTCTCGCGCTGCCCAGGGCCCACGGCCAATTCTTGGCAGAGCCCTGATCTATACGCTCCAGGCCCCTGGGGCAGGCCCGTCCCAGTTCTGGAGAGCCCTGCAGACCTCACCCACAAGCCAGAGGTCAAGGGAGCCCGGCCCGCGTGAGCTGGAGGGCGAGTTATTCCGGCGCTGTCACAGAAGAGGGGACAGTCTGATTGACCCCATCCTGGGCCCCATCAGCCCTTTCAGTCCGGCCACTAAGAAGGGTGTCAGGCCACAAACAAGACCAACGTGGCTCAAGAACTGCCCCATGTCAAGAACCCTGTGAGGCCACAGGAACCTCTCGACTCCACAAACCAGGGAGAAGTTCGGCTTCAGGATGTGGAATCACAATCGGTTTCAGAGGGACTGCAAGGGCCCAAGGTGACTGCCAGCTCCTACCGGGCCCTCCCTAAACGGCCCTCGTTAATGCTAGCTTTACTTTGTTCTTTTACCTTCTAAGCAGGGGCTTGTCTCGACCCCTCACTTGTCAGCCCCCTCCCCTCTTCAGGACCCCCTGCAGCACCCACCCCAATGCCCAGGGAATAGCCTGTGGTCGGCAGAACCTTCTAACTATGTGCCAACGGGCTACGAAGGCCTGGAAAACCCATTATTCTGTTTGGAAGCAAGAGTTTCCATAGAGGCCATACACTGGTTTCCGATTTTCGAAAGACAGAAATACACACTGCTAAAGTTACGCCGTGCGTAATGTCATCTTTCCTTAATGATTCAATTCAGAGAGGAAACCTCGGGATCCGGCACTATCTCAGGGATCCTTCTGGATGCTGTTTGGAAAAGTTAAGGCAAGAGCAGAAGCTCCGTGGGTCCCCAAGTCCCCAAGCTGCTGCTTCCTTTTCCCTGTGCAGTGCACATCTTGGGAACACACTCCACGGTAACGGCACACCAGATATAAAAGGGGGGGGGGGCATGCTACAAAATCCATGAGGGATGTGAGTCTCATTAGATTTTGGAAACCCCTAGAAGGAAGGCGCTCCAGCCTCTTTCATTAGTGGTGGGAAAACTTCAGAGAGGCCACTTGAGGTCTCCCCCTCCCTGATCTGCACTGGCCTTCACCACCGACGGGGTCAAACCGAGGGAGAATATGGGGCCTGGACTAGGCCATTCCTCCCAGCCCCCCAAAGCTGGTCCAAGCCAACCTGCTTGGTGATGCGGGAGGTGTACCCTCCTGCCTCTCTCACTCGACAAAATCGATGGAAAGGGGCAGGGGGGTGGGGGTGGGGAAGGGGAGGCTCCCTCACAAGAAAGTGAAAGTGGAAAACAAGCCAGAGCTCAGGCAGCCCCAAAGCAAAGGGGACTGCCGGATCTGCAAAGTCAGTCCCCAGCCAATGGGGCAGGGACAGGAACACACCGAAGGCAGAGTGCTGGCCGCTTCCTGGAGTTCCTGAACCAGGTACTCACGCGGGAAACGAGGGAGCCCCCCTGTCCCTTCTTCCCACTGCTCAGCGGGGCTCCTGGCCGGGCACCTGTCAAAGTATCTCTGGCGGAGATGAACGCTGTTCCCCCTGCCCCCCCCCCCGCCCCACCGCAATCCAGGATGCCCCCCGGGGGGACCAAACGACCCGGGGGCCGGCACCTCACCAGTCCCAGGGCTGTGCCCTTGGCCTCCCCCCAGGGGAAACTGGCAACTGCGCATTCCTTGAGGACCCTTGGTGACTGCCAGCGGGAAGGGAGGAAGAAATGCGCCTTGTGGCCCAGACGAGGCATCCGTCCCCGCACCCGCTCCCACCGACCATCCTTGGGACCTGCCTCCCTCGCTGCTCGTGGACAGAGCGGGGACGTTATTCCAACAGGTCCCCCCTCAGCCGGGCCTCCCCGGGCCAGCCTTCCTGCGCCCCGCCCCGCGAGGCCTCCGATTCAGCGGGAGCGCCGAGGCACCTGCTGCCGGACCCGCTCCATCCCCGCGAAAGGGGGTGCCCAGGCGGTGCCCCCGGCGCTCGGGGCCCCGCTCGGCAGGGGGCGGGGCGCTCCGGGGACCAGCGCGCCCCCCGCGCCCCCTCCCCGCGCTCACCTGGCGCAGGTGCTGCAGCAGCGTCCCCGCCTCCTCCCGCCGGCCCTGGCGCACCATCCGCAGCAGCTCCTGGACCATGCCGACGCGCCGGTGGTAGGGGGGCAGCCCCGCGCCGGCGCCCGCGCGCCCAGCCTTGTCCCCGGCGCGCAGCAGCAGCGACGCCCAGAAGTCGGGCCGTTCGCGGCGGGGGCCGGGCGCCGCGCCGGGGCTGGCTCTCTCCGCCAGGCTGCCCTTGGTCTGCCGGGTGCCCATGCCGCCGCCGCCGCCGCCGCCGCCCGCCGGCACTGCCCGCGCCCGGCCGCGACGCCGCGTCCCCCGCCCGCCGCCCGCCGCCCGCCCCTCGGCCGCCCGGGCGCGCCCGCCTCCCGCGCGGCAACTTTGGGGGAACTGTTGCGCGCGGGCGGCGCGGGGGCGGGGGCGAGCGGCTGCCCGCGCTCCCCTCGCTCCTCCCTCCGCGCTCCCCGGGCGCGCTCCCCGGGCGCTCGCCGCCCGCCGGCCCCGCCCCGGCCCGCCCCGCCCCCGGCTCGGGCTCCGGCTCCCGCTCCCGCCCCTGCGCCCGCGCCCGGCTCCGCGCCGCCGCGCGCCTCCCTTCCCCTCCCCCCTCCCTCTCCCCTGCGCTCCCCTCCCTTCTCCCTCCCGCCCCTCGGCTTCGGGCTGGGGACGCCGGACACCCCTCCCGCGCCGTCCTCGGTGCCGCGCCCCCTGCCGGCCACCGCGCTGCGCCTCCCGGGGCCGTGGCGCGCTGGCGCCGGGGGCGAGCAGGCCCCCAAGGGACCCTCGCTCTGCGCCCCCCCCCCCGCGCCGGGTCCCCCAGATGCTTCCACGACCGCGCACCAGGGTGAGGCCCGCGGGTGGTGAGGGGAGGCGGCCGGTGCGTCTGACCAGGTGGGGAAACTTTGGAGCGGGGGTGGGGCGTGGGGGTGGGGGTCTCAGCCCCAGAGTCGGGTTTCACACAGTGGGCTCTGCTACGCATCGGTGCCAAAGTCATCCGAGGTGCTGATTAAAAATGCAGGCTCTCCTGCCTGGCCCCCGACCCACGGAAGGAGAATCAGCGCGGTGCGGCCGGGGCATCTGCATTTTTAGCCCGCCCCTGGGCTGATTCCCACATGGGCTCCTTTGACGCCTGGCCTGCGGGGGTGCGGGGCTGGCGGGCGCCAGGGAGCCGTGGCGTCTAGTTGAAACTAGGTCCAAGGTTGTGTGTTGTGGGCGTGCCCTTTCATGGAGAGAGTCCCTCTGGTTGCTTCCATCAGTCTCTTAAAGGGTCTGGACCATCAAGGTGTAAAGAACCGTTGTCTCTCCTTGGTCTTGCTCTCACACCTCTGGGGAAGGTTCTTCCGGGTAACCCCGTGCAGAAAGGGAGAGGGGTGCCTGCATGTAGGGCCAACAGCCACACGGTCCTGCTGGCCCCCTCCCTCTGCCAGGCCCGGCCCCTAAGGGATCAGACCCCATAAGGTCTGAGGGTGCTTGGGAAGCCAACCAGGGCCCCGCCGGGAGAGCAGGCGAAGGCACGCGGGGCATCTTCCCTGGCACAGAGCACAGAGCACGCTGGCAGGCGGTGGCGGCTCACCCGCAGGGCTGCGGGAGTGCTAACGTCGTGTGCGCTTGCCCCTGACCCCCGCCTTGGTTGCTGCTTTAGTGCAAAGGACAGTGTGGGCCACGGGGACAGGAGAGTCCCTACCGCGCGCGGAGAGCCGGAGCCAAGCGCGCACGGCGCACTGCGCGCTGAGTGTGAGGCAGGCCCTCAGCTCCTTCCTCTGTCACGTGCAGATCACACTATGCGGAGAACTGGGAGGGTAAGATGAGAGGCCGCAGATCTGCGAGCTAGTACAGGTGTTCTGCGGAGGACAGATCCTTCCCCTACTCTGTGAGCATCACCGGGTCTTCCCAGGGGTGTTTTTCTCGCCAACCCGGGGACCCGGAGGATGAGCCCTCCTATCTCCCCCAGAAGCCTTTCTCTTCTCTTTGGTCGCCCCGCTCGCAGATGCCCATCTCTGCCGGGACAGAGAACACTCAGTCTTCCTGGAGGCTTACGCAGCACCTTCCAAACTTGGCTGGACCCTCTGTGTGGGGAACACGGCTGTTGGCGTCTCCAAAGAACCCCTCGTGGAAATGACTGTGGTGCCTCTCGTCTCTGGCCCGCAGGACCGCCAGGCAGGCGACAGCAGGGAAACTTTGCTGACCAGGCCCCACGCACCCGCAGGGAGACCACAGTGTGAACTGGCAGGTTGGCCTGCTTGAGGGTGTGTGGCTGGCGCACGGGCCACCTCAGTGGGAGAGGGTCCCCGGCCAGTCGCTCACGTGGGATCTGAATGTCATTCTTTTCCTCTTCTCCAAGACCCGATTCTATCTTTCCTCTCCTTGCTCTGAGTTGTGCTGTTTCTTTTTTTTATTCCACATTTCCCTCTTTCCTGGCTTCTCCTCCATGTATAATCTGCTCAAATCTCTTCCGTCTATTTACAGAGAAGAACCTTCGTTTGCGCCCATCTCCTCCAGTTACCAACGCTCCACCTTTCTTTTTTCCTTCTCAGCTAAGGTTTTTGGAAACATTTATTTAAGATATTTACCTCCGTTCACTCCTCTTCTGGAGTGAGGTGGGGGAGGGGGCTTCTGGCTACACTATGTCATGGAAATGTCCCTGCCAGTCACCTGGTTGTGAAGTTCAGGGGCCGCTTTCAGCCTTGATTTTTAAGCAGCGTGTCTTCCTCTTGCCTACTTTGTTTTGATTGAAACTCTACTCCCTTGGCTTGTAAGGCATCACTTTCTCTTTTCTATGTCACCCTTCCGACGACAACGGCAAGGTCTTTATCGATGTCCCGATTTCACAGGCGAGGCAGTGCCATCTTAGAGAGGTTAAGTGACTTGCTCACAGGTAGGGAGGGGCGGGGCTGGGATTCGCACTTCCGTGGTCTGATTCAGAGCCTCTGTTGTTAACGTGACTGTATATCAGTGAACTGGCTGTTTAAATACGACACCCTACGGCCACCGCCTTACTGAGCTGTCATTTTTCTTTTTTTTTTTTTTAATGTTTTATTTATTCCTAGGAGAGAGAGAGAGAGAGAGACAGGGTGAGCAGGGGAGGGTCAGAGAGAGAGGGAGTCACAGACTGAAAAGACAGGCTCCAGGCTCTGAGCTGGCAGTCAGCACAGAGCCCAACGCGGGGCTCGAACCCACGAACCGCGAGATCATGACCTAAGTGAAAGTCGGTCGCTTAACCGACTAAGCCACCCAGGCGCCCCTGAGCTGTCATTTTTCACCCCAATCAATGGATTACAATAGTATCTTTCTATCTTGTCTCCCTCCTCTGATGTTGCTTCTTCTAATGTGTCTTCCATGACAGCAGTTGGAGCCATCGCTATAAAAGAGAACTAACCCCCTCCCCACCCCGCCCTTCTCTCCCTCTCTCTGCTCTCCTCTCCTCTCTTCCGTAATTCCTATCACTTTGAGTCCCAACTACTTAATATGGCATTCATGGCCCCCAAGCTCAGGCGCTAGCCTTCCCACCATCTTGTATTCCTTACACCTCGCCCACGAGGCCATACTTCATTCCTTTGCACCTGCAGCATGGTCTTTCTAGGACATACTTCACCTCCTTAAGAGATGTGCCATCGTCCTTGAAGATCCAGGTGAGGCGTCACCTCCCTTGAGTGCCTCCCGCCCTCCTCCGTGTGACCCCGATTCCCTGTGAACAGCGCGGCGTGTCTTGTACTGTGTTTCTACTGTCCATCGGGCCTGTGCTGTGCCGCCCAGAGCCTCCTTCTTCATCCCCTCGTTGATCAGTCCCTTCTTATCCTTCAGACTAAACTTGGACGTCACTTCCTCAGGGATGGCTTCTGAGATCGCCTTGCCTCCCACGGGCTGAAATTAGGAGCCCATCCTGCATGTTCTTCAAGTCTCACTGCCTGTGCTAGACGTAGTGGTAATGACCTATGCCCTCCTCAAGGGCAGGGTGTCCATTATGCCCACAGAGCACACTGCCTGGCCCACGGGAGGAGCTCAGAAAATACTTGTTGAATGAAAAAAGCCCCAAAAACAATGCATGGCCACCTCCAGTGTGTTAGCCTAGTGGCAGGAACTCAGTGCATGGCGGGCGCTCGATAAAACGATTGCAGGAACCACACACTAAAATGCAGGTTGCGTTTGTCGACAGGAAGCTACTGATGAGCCTCGGGAAATCAGCTTGTAGAGAATTAAGGAGATTGTTCTTTCAAGAAACTTGTGAATGGGACTGCTCTTTTTGTTGTTGTTTTTATTTTTATATTTTTATTTAAAAAATTTTTAATGTTTATTTTTTGAGAAACAGACACAGAGCACAAGCGGGGGAGGGGCAGAGAGAGAGAGAGGGAGACACAGAATCGGAAGCAGGCTCCAGACCCTGAGCTGTCAGCACAGAGCCCAATGCAGGGCTCAAACCCACGAACCGCGAGATCATGACCTGAGCTGAAGTCGGACGCTTAACTGACTGAGCCACCCAGGCGGCCCAATTTTTTTTTTTTTCTACTTCTTAAGGAGACGCCATGCCCAACGTGGGGCTTGAACTGACCATCCCAAGATCAAGGGTCAGATGCTTTACTGACTGGGCCATCCAGGCTCCTCTGTTGTTTGTGTTTTAAAAGGGATAGATCACTTTACTAAGAGAAAATCATAGAATTTATCCTTTCGGTCATTCTCTTTTAAGCAAGTAATTTTTTTTAAGCTTATTTATTTGTTTTGAGAGAGACAGAGACAACAGGAGCAGGCGACGGGTGGAGAGAGGGAGAGAGAATCCCAAGCAGGCTCCATGCTGTCAACGCAGAGGCACACGCAGGTCTCGAACCCACGAATACGCGAGACCATGACCTGAGCGGAAACTGAGAATCGGACACTAAGTCGACCAGCCACCCAGGCGCCCCCTAAGCAAGTGATTTTTTTGTAACATCAGAAGCACTGGTGTTTTGTCATCTTCAAACCTGGAATTAAGGAATTCACATCATGATTTCCCTTTGAACATTCATTTCGGTTTCTGCTCATGTTGTAAGAGCTTGAAGTAGAAGATGCCTACTGGAATTTGAAGATCATTCAGGTTATATAAATGTTTAAATCAAAATATCTAATATATGGATCAAACAGTACAATCTTCTATTGGTGCAAAAGGTTTCACATCGATTATATTTATCATTTTTTAACCATCCTGCAAAAAGTGTTCTGATGCCCCCATTTTTTTGGTAAAATTTTTAAAATGTTGATTTATTTTTGAGAGAGAGAGACAGAGTGTGAGCAGGGGAGGGGCAGAGAGAGAGGGGGACACAGAACCTGAAGCAGGCTCCAAACTCCGAGCTGTCAGCACAGAGCCCGACGCGGGGCTCGAACCCACCAACTGTGAGATCATGACCTGAGCCGAAGTCGGACGCTTAACCGACTGAGCCACCCAGGCGCCCCATGATGCCCCTTTTAAAAGAGAAGCTGAAGTTTAGGAAAAATAAAGAACTCGGCCAATGCCGCCTTGGTAAGAACTGAAGATCGGGAATTCAAAACCAAATCCTCACTGCTTCCGCACTGCTTTCGAGAATATAGATGCTCCTAGATGCCCCTTGTATATTTTAAACATTTTTGTTTGAAAACTTTGTTGCCACATAGTTGCTGTTTGTCTTTGAATATGAGGAGAGGATGTAGGTAGGAAGAGGAGACAGGAGACTGGGGGGGCCTGCAGCCCCTGGGAAGGTGGGTGGGAGGTGACCCAGAATGTGGCCGGACTCAGACAAGAGGCAGGTAGACTCTGGCACTGATTTGGGGAAGGGAGGGGAAAGAGACAGATAAGTCTGCCGATTGGAAGAGACATCTGAGGAGCTCTTGCCACATGAT